GTTGATTTGGAGGTGCTCTTTCTTTCTTTTGGTTAACTGGGCTAGCAGTCTGTCAATCTTATTTATCTTTTGAAAGAACCAGCTCTTGGATTTGTTGATTCTTTGTATTTTTTATTTTCTTTCAATTTCATTAATTTCAGCCCTGATTTTGATAATCTCCTCTGATTTATTCTTTGTATTATTGTTTGTTCTTGTTTTTCTAAGGTCTTCAGGTCATCATTAAATTATTCATAGGAAACAACTCTAATTTTTTGATGTAGCCACTTAATGGTGTAAAGTGTTCTCTTAGGGACTGCCTTCGTGGTGGACTATAGATTCTGTTATGTTGTGTTCACTTCATTCAGTTTAAAGAATTTTTCCATTTTTTTCTTGATTTCTTCCTTGACAGGATTTTTGTTTGGAAAGCGTTTATTTTATTTTTATGTTTATTTTTAATGTTTGCTTTCCACGATTTTCTGTACTTTTTAGCATTTCTAATGTTGATGTTCAGTTTTATTTGTTTTATTTTGTCATCAGAAAGGATAGATGTTTTTTCAGTTCTTTTAAATTTGCTGGAACTTGCTTTGTGTCCTATATGTGGTTGAGCCTAAAGAAAGTTCCATGAACTGCTGAGAAGAAAGTGTATTCTTTACTGTTAAGGCTCATGGTTAAGAGCAGTGACTACTCTTGCAGAGGACCTGGGTTTGATTCCCAGCACACATGGTGACTAAAAAATGTCCACAACTCCAGTTTCAGGGAAATCAGAGACCTCTGTCTGATCTCTGCGGGCATTGCACAACACAGATCCACTTACATACATACATGAAATACACACACACAAATCATATTTTTAAAAAAGGATGTGGCAGTGTTTCCTGCCCCTTAAATGGGCTAAAGTTGCTTACTTAAAAACTGTTTTAAAAGTATAGGGGTCTCATAGCTGAACCAGTTCAGAATGCAAATCCTGTTGAAGATAGATAGATCTGTATTTTTTAATATTTTTATTTTGACTGTACTAATGATAAGCTGTTTTTATTTTTATCATAAACATTTCCTGAGACCCCCTTAAGGGTTACTCTTGGGAGGCACATTGACACATCTGTTGGGATGTATTAGAGTTTTGCTGACCAAGCAGCTTTTCTTGGCAGCATTGAGGACATCTCCTCTTTGTGAGGCGGAAACTGTTTAGAGTCTAATCTCTCATTTTTCCACAGTCTTTGATTTGGAGGTCTGGTGGCTTAGTGGAGCTATTTTATCCTGTGATATGTGTCTAATCATCCTCTGGAATGTTGCAAGTACCAAAAGAGTGCCGGTTTATTTAGCCTCGCTGTCTTCATTTGCCTTTAATCTTTGGGTACTTAACATTTAGAGGGAAGAATTTCATCCATCTTGTGGAGGAACTCATAGGTTTCTAGTTTAGTTTTTGTGACAAATCTAAGAAAAGCTAAATCCAAACTAAATAACTAAATAAATCCTGATGATTTTCTAGGACTATTCCCTGACCAGCTTTTTAGAAAACATCATTAACTTGATTAAAAATAAACTTTTTGATAATGGCAGCTCTGTGTGCTGGTGTTGGTTTTTAATCCCAGCACTCAGGAAGCAGATGTAAGAGCATTTCTGTGAGACTCAGGCCAGCCAACAGTGGTCTTTATAGCAAGTTTTAGACCTCCTGGGGCTAAAAAAAAAACAAAAATATTTGCTTAAATTAGTTTTGTTGTTATGAAGAGTAGGTTATTATGCTGTCTTACTACCTTAAAGAAAGAACTAGGTTTTTGTTTTATGTTGATGTATTGAAATTTTAAAAGATTATTATAATTTTTATGTGTATGTGGTAGTGCTAGGAATCTGTATGTGTACCACATGCATGCAGGTACCTGTAGATGCCAGAAGGGTACTTTAGAGTCACCTGGAATTGGAGTTACAGTTGGGAACATCATGATTTGTATTTGTATGCTAAAAATTGAACTCTATAAGAGTACAAATGCTATTAACCACTGAGTCCTCAATCCATTCCCCACTATTCTGAATGTTTACATTAGTAATTTTGACAGACTCTAGATATTACACATATGCCATCTTTAGGTTTTATTCACCACAAAAGTTGAGTGACTACTTGAACTTTTATGTTGTACTTAAACATTTTCTTTGTCCTAATTTGTGCATTTTTGATTTTGTAAAAATCCAGTCATTTTTTAAGACAGAAAATTATTACCATACATTTTTTTCTATCTAAAAATATTCTTTTTAAAAGGTTTTCTAACACAAATATATCCTCAGATGTACGTGTTTGTATTTCTTTGCCATACTTAATGGTTCCTTTTATTTCCTTTTTCTAAATTATATTTTATTTTATGTTTATGAGAGTTTTACCTGCATGTACGTATGTGCACCCAGGTCGTGCAGTGCCCAAGGAGGCCAAGAAGTTTGTCACCTTCTCTGGAACTGGAGTTGTGGTTGTATTAGACACAATGTGGGTTCTGGAGACCAAATCCGCATCTTCGGGAAGAATAGCCAGTGCCTTTAACTACTGAGCTACCACTCTAGTCCCTTCCTTTCTTCATAATGCAAGAGAGAACAGCAGGACTAAATTCACCAGTTAATGAAGAGAGTTTAACCTACATTTCATACATGACATAAGGTAACAAGAACACATTTATGCATTGTTAAGCTATAAGCGTTTTGTCTGTTGGCAGTCTCAGCTAGATTTAAGTGCCATTTGCTTTTTTAAAGACAGTTATAGGGCCACTACAATAAAGGGTGATTTAAAGTAGTGGGGATGGCAGAACATAGGTGACCTGAGAATGGAGACGGGGAATGACATTTCATACATGACATAAGGTAACA